AAAACTCCGAGGGATAGTATTCGGGCACAAATGGCTTAATAGTCTTTATGTATAATGAATTGGACTCAAACACCACTGACAATGGGTTGAAAGACTTCATGATTGAACGTGGTAATTGATTTAAGTTTACATTTAATATAGTAGAATTAGCCAGTTGCTTCACTGGGTTTAATATGGTAGAATTACCAAGTTGTTTCACTGGATTTAATATGGTAGAATTAGCAAGTTGCTTCACTGGATTTAATACGATAGATTTAGCCAGTTGCTTCATTGGCCTTAATAATAAATCTTGTTTTAAAAACCCATCCGACGGCGCAATCACTTGCATCAATACTATCAATAATAATAATTTTATCATTTTAGTTTCAAACAACAGATTATACAATATAAATAAAATTCAAAAACAGGTTGAAATATGTAATTAAAAAATTAATTATTGCCAATATCATATCGAGAAATTCAACAGTAAATCTATGCACAATCAGACTGTGGGTCAGCTCGTCATCTATATCACACACCTATTACTTAGACTATCTGTTAGACATCGTTATACAATAGAAATGTCACTATTTTATTTATAACAAAATAAGATTAAAATTTGTTTGACATAGCGCAAACTATTCTCAATATCTATATNTTAGACATCGTTATACAATAGAAATGTCACTATTTTATTTATAACAAAATAAGATTAAAATTTGTTTGACATAGCGCAAACTATTCTCAATATCTATATCAATGACTTTTTCGCTGCCAATCTAGATGTCTCTGAATTATTTTCAAAGTTAATACAATAGTCTATAAACACTTCGAAACATACGGGTTTAAATTATAAAAATTACACCATATTAAACACACTGTGTTGTCGAGCACTTATAAATAAAAGTTTTATTTAAAAGTGATTAAAATGATTGAATATGCAATTATTTTGTTTGTTATTTATATTTTATACAGAATAATATTGTATCAATTTAAGAGATATAGGAAACAAAAATGTCAGGTATGTGTTATGATTGTATAAATTGAACAAAGACCATATATAAAATATACATGCCAGTTTGCCATAACACCACTTCCCTAACACTCGTCAATATATTTATGTTAACCATATGTATTTTAAGTTTAGTTACATTACTTTGCATTACAAAAAAATTGTTTGACGTTTACTTAAAATTTAATAAAAATTATGTCAAACGACAGGCAAAAGTGTTGTGGTTTTGCGATTTTGTGCCCAAACAATACATAAACGCTCCGAAAATAGCCTGTGTAAAACATCTTGATGATCACCAAGTTCAACAAATTCTAACGTTTGAGATCCGCAACATTAAGGCCAAACCCGTTATGGCTAACCCTCTACACGAAAAAGCGGTCAAAATTGTTGAACAAATATTGAGCAAGGCACATGGCCGTAAAATTGTAGACCATCATAATTTGTCCAGTTATGCCTCCTATTGTTTCACCACCACTAATCAAGAGCATTATGTCGCCGCTACTTATTGGCTTGTATATGCTTTTCTATTTGACGATTACCTTGATAAAATATGCGATAACAATATATATCGGTAATTGTAATTATATAGAACAACTATTTTATGCAAGATAAATTTATAGGGGTATGACATTTAAATTATTCAATTTATAAATAATAATTTAAGTAATTAGACATTTTATACTAACTATTATTGTAAGAATTTAAGGTAAAAAACATTTTGCAATGCCTTGAATTAAATGATTAATAGTTTATATAGCAATATTTAAAAATTTATACATTTAATTTTGTTATCATTTGCATTAATAATTATAATTAATCTAATTTTAGCCAATGGTGCCAAAAATATAAGCAAGGCGTATGGCCGGCAAAAATCCCCGAGGACATATTACTAATGAAAATGATCTCGTAATACGTAAATGTTATTACGTAAATGAAACGTTGAGCAAAGATCAAGCTACACTTTTCCATGATTATTACCATGGTGTTCTTCAATCCTATATCATGATAAGTGGATTTATTGGCAAAAATGATAATGTTCTCACTTACCATGAATGGTTCAGATGGAGGTGGAGTTAACATGTTATTTATTTTAAACACCTTTAAATGTTATATCTACTTTATAACCACGATTAATTGATGACAAATGTGGTTTATAAGATAATGTTACTATTATACAATAATTTCACCTTTTGTCGATTATGTATAAGTTATACATAAGTTATACAGTAAAGTATAACTAGTGTTGGAAGTTATTTGTTAAAACAAATAAAACCAAATAAAACACACCAAATTTTAAAATAATACAATTTGGTTTTATTAATAAAACTAAATAAAACCAATTTTTGGTCATTGTTAATTTGTATAATGTGACCAAACATCACATATTTTATACATTTGTGCATATATTTAATGGTTTTTCGGTAAATAAAATGCCGCAACAAACAAACAATTCATATGAATAGATTAAAAGTTAAAATTATTGATTTAATTGGCAACGAGAGCGCACTAAGGGTTTTATTCTTTATTGATTCATCTGGAATAAAAAATTATTATAACGAATAAAACCAAATAAAACCAAATTTTTGAAAAATTACTGATAAAACAACAAATAACACCAAATTTTCCTTAAAATTAATAAAACCAAATAAAACACACTAAATCCAAATCAATAATAAAACCAAATTTGTTTTAACACTAAGTATAACACGTAAATATTAGATTCAAAATGGTTCACCATGACACATTTATTATTATTATTATTATAATTATTCTTATTTCTACAATAGGGAGCGAGACGTGGGAATGATTCCGGTGTTTATGTGGGCCGAGTTGAGCGTCGGGTTTGATCCAAACAATTATAATATTCGCTCGGACCCAACGTACATGACATTTAACAACGCGGTGGCTTTTTACTGTATGATGATCAACGAGCTGTACTCGGTCAAAAAGGAGGTCAAAAATGGCGACATCAGGCGTTCGTACCTCTACTTGATTATGGCCAGAGAGCGGTGCGCAGCGCAGACTGCGGCCGACCGTATTGTGGCCGAAATAAGGGTGGCCTACAGTTGCGCCAAACACTACGGGCGACAATTGAACATGTTCAATATACCCGCTCTCGACCGTTACGTCACGGAGTCTATAAGCTGTTGCGATGGCAACCATTACTGGTCGAGACATATAAACGTGAGATATCAAGTGGGGAAAGAAACGTGTGTTACGGCACACTACTAATGTTTGGCGTAAAATGTCCTGGATAACTTATAATTGTTTGATTAATTATGCCATATATTGTCACATTTTTATTTATTTATTTATTTATTAATATTGTACTAATTGTTAATCCATAAATATATTCTATTAAATTGATTCTTAATCTTAAGATTTGCCCAACCTAAAGCCAATCCTAACCAAAACCAAAACTAAAAAATAGTTTGCGACAACGAAATGATATTTATTTAAGTTATTATCAAAATTATTTTTACTATTATTATTTTTATAAAGTAATTTTATATATTTTTATTTTGTATTAAAAAAATTAACTTATATCATGGTCAAATAATTATTTAACAGATGACTAAAACAATAAAATAAATATAAAAATTTTGTATTTAATTTGCAAATTCTATTAAGTTTATTAAATAAATAGATGTAATACAGGTGTAGACTGCCATAAGTGAAATGTACCTGTGACAATGTGTATAACTTGTAGGTGTATTTGGAAAGCACTGTAAGGTTCGGAATGGACAGGACAGATCGTGCATATTACTTGTCAATGTTCAAAGCCAACGGTCAGAGATTTTACACATAAATAGTCAATGAGTTAATAACATTAATTAAAATTGTTAAAATAACAAATGTTTTATTAAATAATATATAGATGTTTTAATTCTATTCATAGTAAAAACCAATATAAATTAACCCCTGGTTTTAATGCCAACAATTATAGATTTAACACTTTTAAGGGCAGGATTTTTAAGCAAAATTAAGGGAACTTCTGTTTGCGGACTTCTGGTCAACTGAAACCTCCGTATAATATGAGCCAAACCTAACTTCACTTCCATTAATGCAAACCTCATTCCAATGCAATTTCGAGGACCGGAACCGAAGGGCAGATAAGTGTAGGGAATTATTTGGTGACGATTTTCGGGTAGAAAGCGGTCGGGAATAAACATTTCGGCGTTTGGATAGTATTCCTCCGAGTGATGGATAGCATAAACAGGTATTTCTACGACTCGTCCCTTATATACAGTAATCCCAGTGTTTCCCAACCGGTAGTCTTGTGCAGCAATTCTTCCTATTATAACGAGAGGTGTGTGGAGTCTAAGAGTCTCAGCGATGACCGCATCCAAAAACGGCAGTTTTATCAGCACTTCGTAATCAATTTCTCCGTTTGTGTCCATCGAAGACATCACTTCTTCGTATAGTTTTTGCTGAACGTCTGGATTGAGTGCCAATTCATAGGAACAGAAGGACAGAGTGCTGGCTGTTGTCTCATATCCGGCTAAAAGTACAATAAACATCTGCGCTATCATCTCATCCTCTGTTATGAATATATTCGATGGCTTTATATTCAATATATTGTTTGTGATTTCGAGTTCCTCTTCGCCTAAAATATAAGTATTCAATAAATATAAACATTTCAATAATCCGATCTATAAAACAAACCTTCATTGATGTGATGCGACTCGTATTTATTCCTCTCGTCATTAATGTTATCCTTTCCTTCCTTCGCTCTCATCATGAGATCAATCAAATCATTGGATTTTGTCTCCGATTTCTCCCTAATTCTCAATATTTGTCGTGAAATTGTAGAGAAAAAATCGACTGACTTTTCATTCATTAAAGTTTTGAACTTTAATAGATTTAACACAAACTGAGGCAATAAAAGCATCGAGATAAATTTCAAAACCGACAATTTCAGCACATTTCTGCCGTTCACTACAAATGCATTGTTTGGGTCTTTAAAAGCATTGGTTTTTGTGGCGAAAGCGCAGTTCGCGATCACATCCATAGTTAGACAGCCGTACATATCGGTAACATTTACTTCTTGTTTGTCGTTCACGTATTCACTCAATGTATTCATAAACCCCTTCACAGACTCTCTCACTATTGGATACATTTTTCTCATTTTGCCGGAAGTGAATACAGGAGTAGTTATGGATCGGACTCTCTTCCAGTCGTCGCCCTGAAGTCCCGGCAATACTTTCTCTACAATCGGATGATTTCCACATTCAAAAAATGACTTTCTGTCAGTAAATATATGACAATCTTTGACTAACACTTGTTTAATGAGTTCCGGATCCGCCACTTGTAGTATAGGGTTGTTTCCTTCAAATATTCTGCATTTTAAATAATGAATGTTTTTATAATTTTTGAAAAATTTTATTATATTGTTTTACCCATAAATTTTGCCATATTTTTGTTGCCATTTGATTTCCAGTTCTGGTTGTGGTGTAATAATACATTCCCATAGAGTACCAACAATTGGGAATGGTCTAGGCCCGTTTAATCCCAGTTTTGTGAAATAATTAAAATTTCTTGTAAAGTACCTATGAATATAAGTTTTATAGTTATAAATAATATAAAATGATTTGGATTCTTTATTTATATTTAAAATAATGAATATACAGTACCAGTAAAGCAAAGGTAGAACTGTTATTATTGTGTAGAAATAATAACATTTATACAAATTGTCAAACATTTTGCCAAATTAAAATGTTGCACAAAAAATGAATTGAGTTTTGTATTGTCGTCAAGTGATGAGTTAAATTACCCTAAAGTTTATCCCATTACCCAAATCTAAGAGTTTGAATAGTGTATATTATTTAATTTGGCCAAACTTCATTTTATAATGTTTACAATATTCAATCAATGTTATGAACATACGGGATATAGCATATTATGGTTTATAATCAGCGATTCTCATGTTGATATGCAATAGTAAATAGTCAATACTGTATGTGTTATAAGTATCTTTTTAAATCTGTTTACAAATATAAATTTATATTAACCAGAAATAATCAACTATTTTTTAATTGTTTTAATTTATTGATCAAGTTTATAGTATAATTTAAATTTTATGTCCCACTTTTGTTTTAAATTATGTACTAGTTTATCTTCATTAAATGTACGTTACATGTAGCATACACAAATTATACTCTAAATGAATTTTATGACTTTAATGAAAATCAGTTCATTAAATGCAATAAATGTAATTTAAATAAACATTGCAAATATTTGTCGAATAAATCAAACAAATGTTTATAGTGTCTTAAAATGTAATAAATGTTAACATAATTACAAATATAGCCAAAGATTGTGAATGTAATTCAAAACAATAAGCGCACAAAAATATATTCTCGCCATTTGTTTGCCACGAATATTAATTTGAGATCTCGTTATAAACAACATATCGACGCTAACTGTGCCCTCACTTTCCGACGACTGCTGTTTATTACTAATTAATTCACAATTAATCATAAAACAATTGCGATTAATAATTGCCTATTATACAAGTATTGTACTATTGTATATCAAGTTTATAAATCAAACAAATACCAATCAATTGCTGAATCCATGGCATATGTTTGGCAACCCTAACGAAAATCACAAGTTTAAGACCACATTCATGGCCAGTATAGCTCTGGCCGTATGAATATGACATTAACACAGCATTACGTCCCTGGTATACCACGACTGCCTCAATTCCCCTAATATGTTATTAGTAATACTTATTACCTAATCGTATCTCAGGGCAAACCTAGGACAAACGGGGTACTAGTTATAATGTTTAATATGCTTAAAATGATTGAGGTGAGATATTAAGTACGTCCCATTATGAACAGTAGCAGATACCATATGCTTATTACTATAATTTATTTAATTATTTTACTATCACTTAAACAGATCCAGCGTTAAACTTACAAAACAACCCATACTTTGACTGGATTTGTATTTACATAAATTATTAGGAATTTCGTAATAAACTGTTTTCATTAACTCATTTCTAATTTGTCCACATGTAACATGTGGGCCAATTAAAATTCATTTTACAATTATTTTTAATAAAACTGATGAGTACTGGCTGATCAATAATTTTACAAACTCTTGATTGATTAAAAGTCAAATTTACCAAGGTGAGTAAAAATTACATTGGACTTCAATACTAAAGAGGACTGTCTCAACTTGATGTAGGGGGATGCATTTTCCCCCTGGGTCGCTGTGCGTTAATAACAATAATAGCAATTAAAGCAATCATAGTATATATTTGATTATAACCAGGGTCTCTATTTTTCGGGAATTCCTGAATAAAATTAGATATTATTAGCTATCAATGATGAGGACAGTAGTCATACCCGAAGCCACAGCACCGGTAATACCAGTCAACGAGTCCTCAAATACCACACAATTGTGCGGCGATTCCGGCGGCGATGCAAACCGTTTAATGCAAATATGATATAAAAGACATTAACATATCTAGTTACTTTTTCAAGTAACTAAAAAATTAATAAATTACCGAAACTGAATACAAAGTTCTTTTAAAATAATAGCACTTAATTTATTTATTCAAATTCATTTTACAAATCATAAATTAATTAAATTAATTCATTTTGTAAAACATAATCTAAACTCAAACATCTTTATTGAGATGAAACTTGATCTCCATGTCCATCAGGTCTTTGGCAAATCGGATCAGCTCTAGCTCTTCGGCAGCGGATATGTGACCACCATTTCTATCAATAACACTCTTAAACGCAGTCGTTATCGCTTTGCGACCAAAATCCAGAAACATCAGACTAGTGGCCAAAGGGTTGGGCCGATACCATGGCTCATGTTTTAAATACTCGTGCAGCCTATCTGTAAACCAAATGCCCACCATCTGAGTGAGAATCATACGCAACATTGAGCCCCGTTTCAGCTCCTGGTAATGCATTATCGTATAGTCAACTGTAATTGAGTCCATAGGCTGTGCCTTTAGGTCGTCGCCAATGCCTCCCAATTGTCGCTCAAAGCGGTCGTAGTATTTGTCCAAATCGGCGGCAAATGTGGTCACAAACGGCTTCAGTATTTCGCGGTCCGTTTCGATGACGGCAAGACTGTAGGCCCGTCTCAGCAGATCTAAAGTGGATTCTAGTTTTTTGTGTATATAGTTGTGTATATATAAATAGATTGATAGTTGTATACAGTGTAATGCCTCTATAAGAAACCCATCCCGGAGGTAAACTCTTTCTATTGTTTACAGTTTAGATTTAAAATTAATTTACAATATTTTACAATGTTTATCATATTAATAATACCTTAGTTTTAGAAAACTACTTATAGATGGGTTAACATGAGAAACGCTAACATTGTATATACAATATGTTGTTCATGTAGGGAAAGTATTTTACATAATAAAATTTAAATGGATGCGACATTTGTCATGTCATGTAATATCATGTCTGTCATGAGTACTCACTCGAAACAATGTCTTTGTATCTCTTCCACTGTTTCTGTGCGAACCGTATGTTTTCATCACTCATTTCTCCGGTCATTAGTGTTTTCTAGACGTAATCCGTGGCCAACATCTTCGTCAGCGAGTCCTCCAACGGATCCAACAATCGATCGCTTAATTGTTTGCCCGATGTCTTAGAACTTATGCTTATATTTATGTACACTTTGTGTGAGATTTATGTCCAAACTCTTGTTATAATAAAAATTTTAATAACAATTCATACATTTAATAATTATGTGAAACAGATTGTAGAGAAATATGTGATTAAAATAAGAAATTTTTAATTGAATTTAATAAAGTTTATTATAAAAATTTTATATCATATTACATATTTTCAGGACATCTATTAAACTACAGAATATTCTACTAACAAATGCAAGATAACAAATTAAATGTTTTAAGATATTAATTGAAGTAAAGTGACTTTATATCTATTACTACAAAAATAATAAAAACTTTCAAAATCTATAAGTTCTAAAAATAAAAAATTTAAATGATTAAAACAATTGGAAATCATTTTTTGAATATTTGGACCAATTTCTCAACGATAACAGCATTTGTCACTTGAATTGATTCATTTGTGTCCACAAAAACAGTGGTTATATTTGAAACAAAATCCTATCAAATAATATTATAAATAAATTGGAATTTAAGTGAATAACTAATACATGCCTTTGAATTGGGAATCAAATAGAAATGATTAGAAGTATTGAGACATTCATTATTCTTGTCGTCCATTAAATCCAATTGTGAAGACATTAATATAACCACAGATTTTTCGCCCATTTTCATCCATTTTTTGTTAACAATAGTTTTGAAATCGTTTCCAAACTTTTGTTTTTTATTCAATCTATACGTCCATAACATTCGGATCCGTTTAACCATTGTTTCCAATATTAGATCCAAGTCTTGAGATATCATTGATTTTCCCGCAAACTCTCGTAATTCAGCGCCAATTCTCTTGACTCTGGACTCAATGTTTTGGTCACAACTGTCTCTCAATATCTTCCTCTTGTAATCCATGGGTAAGTCATCCGAAAGACAATTCAATATCAACTCTAATACCATATCGTCCTTCAGGTCGTCCTCTCGGAAGCGCTGTTTCGACAGCACATCAATCATAACCGCCTTCTCTGCCAAACCTTTCCGTAAGAGTTGGCCACAAATGATCGCTCCGTCCGTCGATCCCAACACATCGTAACCACCATTTGGTTC